CCCCCCCCTTCAAAAAGTTAGATCGGGGGGGGGGCCTCCAGCCCGGAGCCCTGGAACATATGTAAGTACGTTTCTACTGCAGCTATCGTATCAAGTAGAAGTAGAACAAGAACAATGAAGGTTATTATTATTGTACATGAATTCAGGCTTATTAGTAATCGTGAATAGAAACGAACCTGCTGCTGGGTGCGGCGGAGGTGGCGGCGGCGGTGGAACTCCTTCCACTGGCCTCCATTGTTCAAACTGAGGAGGAGGAAAGAGTTCCTTTTCACTTTCTGACGGAGGTGGGCCCCTTCCTCGCATCGTAGGAGCGGAGGAAACATCAATTGAACTGCCACCCCCGGGCGTGTCTGCTGAAACGGCTTCCTCGCTTGTCGACTTGCGGTTCTCTTTCAGTTGTTGTTGTTGTTCTTCATCTTTGTTATTAGAGATAGAAAATCGAACCCATCATATGTTTGAAAGTCCGAAAGTTATAATGATGCTGTTATTGTTTTTTTTTCAGAGTTGTCATCATGAGTGACCCTAGAGAATCTGAAAAAGAACAAATCTTTTTGAACTGCTGGTTCTGGAAAAGGAAAATCTGAAATATAATCCCCATAATGGTAACTATTCGACAGCTTTCCTTTGAAGACTTTCTACTACCAGGTGCAGATGATGCTGGGTTACTTCTGCGCAGGTAGCCAAGGCTTGCCCATCTGTCAACCTCGTCAACAGGACCTTGAAGAGCTCCGCGCATGTCTTCAACTTCGGGACTTGGCGACGTCGCAGACCAGCGAGAATTTATGGTTTTCTCGGAGGCTACTTGGCCTCCAACATGTTCTCCTTCCGGCCGTGATGCAGCTGCCACTGCAACATGTTGTTTCGAAAGATGTACTTGAAGATTTACCAGTAGAGGGCTGCCTAATGACCAGGTAAGAGTTTTCATGAGCCGCGTCCTTCTCGTTCTCGCTAATTTTTTTTTGTAGCTATAGCTATAGCCATCCGTACACGATATACCACGAAACTTTCGGTCCCAGCCCCGTCGAGCACATCCCAGCCTTCCACGACCAACACTGACGATCCCTCCTTGTGTTGCAATCCATTCATGATATGCTTTCATCCCAGAACTTTGCTGGACATCTTCTGCTTCCTCAGGTGGGGAGGAATTCGTTGAATCACGCTTATTGCAGCAAGTGCTGCTTGTTTTTGTATTATTTTTTAGTCGTTCTGGATCTGGTTTTACCTGTTTTCCTTCGATCATTCTCTGCGTTTCTTGCATCGCCTGTGCAACCCGGAGACAACGATGCGGGAAGCATGCAGAGGCTGAAGACGGAAACCAGCCTGCAGCAAGCCCTTCAGACGGCTTCATTACATTGATTTGCGGTTGTTCTTTCATGACAAGTGGGATCACTGATCACGAAGCAAGAACTACTCTATGATTCACATACAACAGTTCTGACGACCCAAACGCAAAGACCTACACCACCGGGCTGCTAGACAGTACTAATAAAAAATGTTAATATCAATCAACATGCCAATTGACGAAAGATGCAATAGTTTCTTATATTCATTGTTAGTCTTGCTCCTTAATCAATATGAATCTTCAATTAGTAGTTCGATATGTAAAATATGTATTTCATTATAAAAAACACTAACACGGTTTGATATTGAACGAAAAACATTACGCTTATACCATATCGAGTACGACGAGTGGCACTAGTATATATGCACGGAAATATTATGAAACTTGCGTCCTTGAAATCACACGAAAATATCGCGGATCTCCTTATTATTCAAGTCTTGCTGTAGGTTGATTTAAAATGCAGTTACACTGAAAAACAATAGAGTGACACCGGATGAGTGTACCCAGACCGCTGCACTTGTGCGGGTTGATTACCTCCTGTTGTCGTTGATGATTGGATTTGAAAAATGAAGGAAGAGATATCTTGTTTTCTTTCTCTTCTTGCTGAGTCAACATGCTAACCAATCAGCAGAGATTGAAAGAAATCGTGGAGAGCAATGCAAAAGCTTTTGAAATCCGTTTCCTCACAACAAATGGAAAGGGTCACGTCCCCGTCCTCTGCGCTATGTGCAGATTTAGCACTAGGACTAGCACCGAGGAAAGCTAGTGGAAAGAATGCAATAACAACCTGGTAAGGCATTCCTTTGGTGAGTGTTGCCCTGCCGAACACAATAAGGCATCGACGAGAGATATGATCTGATCCCGTTCTAAAGATTTCTGTGAGCTTGCAGATGGCCATCCAGTCGCCTTAAGATGTTCTTGCCAGCATCATCTGCTATAGCTATGTCCTCAAATCACGTTCACGATGATGTCCTCAACATTATTCACATAGCTTCGTCGTCTTGATGATCAAGATATCACATGAAACATCGGGATAGAGCAGGTACTATCGATGTGCAGGAACACACATAAGCACTACATGTTCGAGACTCGAGAAGGAGGATGACAGAAATGGTCGCACCTTGTTTCAGATCCAAGCGACCTGAGTAAACTTGAAGAGAAAAATTGCAAAATATATCTTGGTGTACTAGCACAGAGGGCACTGAACAAACGCGCCCACTTCATCATCATGAAGCCCATTCTGGTGCGGAATGAATTGTACTGAGCACAAGAAGTCCTCTTTGTCGCTTCAGTTCTGCGATGCACAGGAGCGATTTACTGTAAACTTATCTTAGACCTACTACCTTACTGTTTTCAGCGTACAAGCGAGAACGACAACAACACTTGCTTCTGTAAGTAGCTCTTCATATGCGTGTCTTTGAAACACATGACGGGATATAATGTGCATGCGCACCAACAAACTTGTCTCGGGTTTTTTCGATACATTCAAGCTTGGGTCTGTCTACAGTTCCATCCTCTGCAGATGAATAGAGCTCCTTCCATGTTGAGTAACGAAGTCGTAAAAAAATTCATGCTGTAACTAGTATTATGGAGTAAGGCTTTTTTTGACCCGTATCGGGTCGAGTTTCTCGGGTTGCTCGAGTTGCCCACCCTAATTTTTTGCGCGGCGCCCTTCAGGCGCAGCTTCATGAGACTCCGAGAGACCCTAACAGGAGCATACAGCGCTGCGAACCGTGTCTCGGCTCCATGCGGGCGCAGCCTGCTTGGCGAGACGTTGAAGCACTAGAGAACAAGAATACTGCTGGCCGGGAGAAGGGGAGTTTGCCCGTGGAAGACAGCCAGGAGAGGCAGCAATATGCCCGCGACGGGTCCAGCGTGGGGGGCCTGGGGGTGTAGCATGTACCACACCGGCCCACCCACCTGCCGACCAAAGGAGAACCGTACTCACCACGACCCGCCCAAACAGCCCCCGCCGCATGTTTCTCAATTTCACAAGGGCACCCTTCGACCGCAAGCCAGCTACGCGCCCACCCGCAACGTCGAGGACCGAAAACCCAAGCCCAGGCTGACATTCCTCAGCGAACCAATCCACAAGCACAGAAGGGCGAGGCACTTGCTCCCGGCCGCCGCGACTGCGTGGGAACAGGCGCACCACTATCGAGCCCAAACGCAAAGAAGCAGCGCCACCCCAGCCTCCCTTTGCGAAGGAGCTCCCAAAGAGGGCGCCCCGCTTTCCGAGTGAGTACTTTGGCGCCCCCTACGCCCTGCTTTGCTACAATTTCGACGCAGCTAGCTTCTTCTGGCAACTCGTGGCAACTCGTTCCAGGAATGGAGGTCTTCGCTTCGGCAACTCGAGCCCGTTATTGGCCTTACTCTACGGGTATTACGATGTTGATAAATAACATGGATGTACTTCGTACCGCTTACCAAAATCTAAATTGTGATTTACCGTTCTAAAAACTTGAGCACAATAAGAAGACGAGGAGGCAGAGGCTATTCTATTCTGTGCATCCCAAATAGGCATATAGCACCTACCGGCAGGATGAATCGATGTGTCAAGCTCCAGGCAGAGGCTTCAGTATCACTACAGTTTAATGTACAAAATTGTTCCTCGGCCGAGAAAAAAATAATCATTAATTTGATGTCTTACGCGAAAAGCTTGAGAGTCAGTATGTAATAAAGTGCAATTTCAGTTTCTTGGAAAATGGTTCCGTAGCTAGTAGAGAAATTTAGGTGAATCACTGTCGACGTGAAAACACTCAAAACTGTTTGTTCAACAGCTGATTGCTATGGAGTACAAGCACACTTGCTCACATGGTCTTGCTTATCATGTTCATATCTTCGTTTCGGCCTGATTCGCTAGAATCCGATACAGTCAAGAACAAAACGTCTAGGGGCTTTTTCTCTGCGCCTCGAGGGCTACTGCGCTCCCTTTTGATTGTGCTTGCTGCTCTTCAACTTCATCTGTGCCTGTTGCTAGTACCTTAGCTAAATCATTCCTTTCCGATTGTTCTGATGCATCCTTTACTTGAACCTTCTTGTCGGTGTTCATCGTCAACAGAGATGATTTGCCGGCCCGTGGCATGACCCCGCTTTGCTCCCTCTTCAAACGAACACCAGCTGCGCTATAGGGACTTGGCTTAGCTGCTTTTGGTGAGGGGCTCCAGAAATACTCTCCTGTCATGGATGACGACCGCTGCAACAGTCTTCCCACATGGCTACTCAATCGGACGCGGACCGGGTAACCCGGTGCCGCGAGGAACGAACAAACTCTGCGCAGAAGAGAGCCCTGTGGTAACTTCTGCAACAAACGCTCGGTCATCTCAGCTTGCTGTGCAGCAGTCAAAAGGATTATTATGGCCATGACGTACAGGACACTGCTAACGATCATCAGGGTGTGCAGCTGGTTCGTTAGCATCGTCCGGCTTTCGGACCGTGGCAAGTACTCGGAGAGAATCACCAAAAACAAAACCAAAGACAATAAAATTGTCACCGAAAACGTTACACGCTCTCCGACACTAAACGGAATGAGGATCGAGAAAACGCCTAAAAACATGATGCTCATCGCGGGCTTCCAATTAGAATTAGAATTTGAAGTAGAACAATTTTTTAGCATTTCATTGCGTCCACCACGAGAAACCATCGCACGAGAGATCTTCTCATCTTTCTTTCTGATGCCGGAAAAAGTTGAAGTCTGGTTATTCAACAAGAATGAAATCGTCTCTTTCTTAGGCTCCTGACAAAAATAAATTACTAAGCACATTTATTCATCAGTCGTGTGTGACTTGTTCCAATTATGCCTACATTAATCAAAAATCAAAATGAAAATGTGTTCTTCCACTACCTCGCTGATAGCCCTAATAGTAGAGTAGAGGTCTGCGTTTTGCCTTGAAGATCATGATAAATTTTACTGTCTCGTAGGGATTCGGGCAGCAAGAGCAACCATAGAACTGTGGTTTCATTTCAACTTTATGCTTCGATTCTTCCCATTCCACGCTCGTCTCGAAGTGGTTTAGGTCAAGCGAATCGTCCGAGGGTGCTTTGTACGGCAGTAACGCCAGGCTTCCCTCGTCGAAAACCCAACTGCCAAACGAGAGTTAGAAGAGCTAGATGAAGCACAGCTCTATCTTCGTTCTCACAAGAAAGCGTACATGACGAAACTTGTAACAAGACTAACTAGTCTCAAAAGTAATCTCCTCAAGATGACGAAATCATGTTACCAAGTGTTGGCGACCTTCTTGTTCTATTCACGATCCGTACAGAAAGTGCGACGCTCTCAACTACAACTTCCAACAGGAACATCTTTGCATACGCAGACGATGAGGACGTGGACGATCACGATGATGTTAATGATGATAACCATGTTGATCATAGGGCCGTAATCTAGAAAGCAGTGCTGCACGTCCTCGGGAAAGTTACTCACCTCGAATCGTATGTCGCCTTGACCATTCCCGGCCGCATCCACACGACCGTTCCGTCATGGTATACCAGCTCTTAGACGAACTCTCTAAACAAACACTTGTTGTCCTCAAAGAAGTATGACAATGAAGATTGATTCTTCAACTTCAACTTCATCAAAGGAAAGATAACTCTTTGTAGTTGTAGAAATTGTTGCCCTTTCAAGCATGTCTACTTTGTCTTAGTCTTTATTAACTCTACGGAATTAAGGCATGTTGAGCTTAATGCGCTAGACCATTCTCGACTTGCGACATCTGCTTTTCCGCAGTATTGTAGAGATACAGGTCCGGCGACCGGCGTTCACATCGAGGGAAAGCTTTGCACATTCCCAGGTCCAAACCTATTGTCCACCGGGACCGTGATCATTTTAGGTCTCCGTGCGACGCATTGTGCGAAGGAGACATCGCTGTGGCAGAAATGTACCATGTAAGTCTTGGGTCAACCCGCAGTCATATGTTCAGCAACTGGGTTCCTGGCACAAGATCTAGCTGCTGGACCGCGAAAACGGCGATGCCGAAGTGGACCGTAACAGGAGCGCTCGGGTCCGAGAGATCATACCGATTTGGCGCTGTGTCAGTCCCATAGCTCTTGACAATCTCAGCCATAATACGGTCTTCAGGGCTCAAAAACGTTGTCGCAGCGACAGAGACAATCAGGAAAAGGAGCTGAAGCGGCACCGGAATGACCATCCAAGCGAGCGCCTGTCATTGGCTTACTAATTCTTCAAGATTGTGGAGCGCAATGCCGCTGTAGTTGAGCTGAGGAGACCATGCTACAAAAATCCACCTGAGCATTTTCATCATGGTGATGATAAGCCTCTCGGTTTTCCTCTCATCGCGAAGCGAGTACCTATATTATAAGTTTAGCTTTCCATTTTCCCGCTTCTTCTTCTCACCACTGTCCGCTTTTCCTCTCTCTCCACGACCTTGTTGCTCTTGAAAGCCGAAAACGAAACTATTGACTTGAAAGCTGTGACTTTAGGACACATCGCGATCAGCTGCTGGACCGAGACACAAGATTCAAAGCCAATGCCAAAGGATGACAATGACGTAAGAAATGAACACGCTTGACATCAGCTCCGGGCGCCTACCAACGAATCTCTTCTAGTGGGACAACGCTAGCCGCCTAATTTTCATCATAATTCTCCTTTTCATTCCATATGCAAATGCGTTTTATTGTTTCGATTATCATCCTCATCAGTCGTATAATCATAAAATTTAGATGAAATCTTAATGCTGATCCAAATGCGATAAAAATTACGTCTGTTGTTAGTGTCGTCCACACCCCTGGGAAATTGCTGAGCTGAAAATGTTTTTCATTATGTTGCACATGTTTCATAGAACTTTACGGTCTTTTAGCCGCTAATTTCAATCCACTGTCGCAGAGCGTCTGAGAGGAGATGCGGGAGCATTTCTCGATCGCGGACGACAGCGTAAAAGGGGAAGGGGAAGTCTTGGAGGTAGGGCGTCACTTCGCAGTGTCCGTTTGCGTACGAGACTGCTTTCAGGTCGAAAATGGAAGAGGATTGTTGGGCGCTTCTCTTGTTCGTCTTACTAGAAGCACTACCAGCAGCAACAGGTATGCTGCTGCTGTCTTTCTTGTTCAACGCTATCGGAGAATCCACTTGTTCCTGTGGATCCACGATGATGAGCAGAGGCAATACTCGACGCGACAGCGCTTGGTGGATCTCCGCACGCACAGCGGCCTTATTGAAGCGCCCATCTGTGACCAGTAGAAGAATCTGTCGACAATTCCCTGCACTTCCTGGTGCGGCTTGCTCGAACAACTCCATTGCGTATCTCAAAACGTCAGGCAGGCCTCTGTCGTGGGAGCGCATCGATTCTTCCTCGAATGTCAAATGCTCTAGCAAAGGTCGCGCCTCTTGGTATCCGAAGCTGCTGCTTCCAATATTCGTGGCGTTGTGCTTCACTTCCTGTCCACTACCTGTGGCAGACGACGTAGAAGCCGTGGCTGTGGAAGAGGCTGCACTAGACACGACGCCGGCATGTTCCTGCTGAAAGCCGCAGAGTAATCTTGGCTTTTCTCCGCCGAAGGCCATTACACCGACTTGGCCAACCTCAGCACGACTGAGCGCAGAACTCAACAATACTAAGGACTGCAATGCCAAACCTGCAACGCCGCAGTCTTTCATCGAACGGGAATTGTCCAACGCCAGCAGAATCTGATACTCACGCTTACTCGGCTTGGTACGACGGAGCCAAATCTTATCTCGACGGAAGTTTGACGCTAAGAACGGAATGACCTTGCGCATGGAAAGTCGCTTTCCCGTCTTGAAATCGCCCTGTAGCTTGCCCTTCAGAGTAGGCTCAAGGAGAATGCGAAGCTGTTCAGCGAGACCTGCTGCAAGTGCGCTTGTGCTAGCCTCGAGCACTTGGTAAAGCCGCTGCAAGTAAGCCTCGCTGTGACGCACGGTGAGCCCAAGTGTCGGGGTTCTTCGCAAACGAAGATCCGCATCGCGCTCTCGCAACAGGTCGTCAACAGAAAGCTGTGGAACTGCCTCCTGATGTGTGGTCTTGCTAGCTGATGAGTCACCTTGTTCCTCTTTCTTATCCGGCTCATCCATAGCAGCATCATCTTCGGCACCATTTCCAGTGACTCGAAGGTCGACCTGCACCGCAGCACAAGCCTCTGGCTGTGGCGCGTTAGTTGTGGTTTGTCGCTGCAGTGACTCAAGCAAGTCCTCTTCTTCACGCCGTTTTTCTTCGGCAAGAGCTTCTTCATCCAGTTCAGGGAGCGCTTTTGCGTCGCGGCGACGTCCCTCGCCCTCTTCCTCGTCTCCATCGACGTTGTCCTTATTTCGAATCTTGTCTTTTTCGGCGCCTGTGGCGTCATTCTTTTTGTCTTTGGAGCTCTCTGCGTCTTCCTCCTCATCCGCTGGTAGGTCTTCTTTCATTTGGAGTGGTTCCTCGAGTTCCTCCTCCATCATTCGGTTGGCGATCTCTTGCTGTTGCGGATCAAGCTCACGCACCTCGCCGATCGCCTCTTGCTTCGACGTTTCGTCGGCTTCGTGGAGACCCTTTTCCAGCTTCTCATCCTGCTCCTTGGAATCTGGGTCCTGCTTCAAGTCCTGAGCATTGTCATCCTCACGGTCCGGATCAACAACATCGACTTTTTCCAACTTATTCTCGTCGGCGTCGGCAGCATCGGTCTGATCGTTCTTGTCGTCGCGTTGCTGCTGAGGCGCTGAGCGATTGCGGTCCTTAGGGCGCTGTTGCAATTTCTCTTGAGCTTTTTGAGGTGCCGACTTCCTGCTGCCCTGCTGCTCCTGGGACTGGCCTGTCGTGTCACTGGTCATATTGTCGTTAGGAGCATTGTCGTCTTGGACCTCATTGTCAGCTTCAATGGGAGCAGCTTCTCCCTGATCTCCGCTCTCGCCACAGTGTTCTGCTTGCTTCGAAGCAGGGTCTTCTTCGTCCTTCTTCTCTTTTTCTTCCTCGGCCGCGTCGTCGGTTCCCGGCTCTTTCTCCTCCGGCGCGCGGTCGAGAAGATCAGCTGCATTTTGCTCAGGCGCAGGTGTCGGTAGATCGTCCTCCTTGTTTTCTTCATCCTCCTTTTTCTCGTCCTCGTTTTCAGCATTTTCCTCCTCGCCTTCTTTCTTGTCGGCGTCTTCTTCGTCACCTCCTGCTTCGTCTTCACGACGAGTCTGATCCTCATCCTTCGCGTCGTCATCCAGCTGTTTTTCTTCTGGGCCACCCTCTTCGGCGCTACCATCTTCCTCAGCGCCGTCCTCTTTTTGTGGCTCTTCCTCGCCAAGATCCAAAGGTCCTGCTTCAGCGTCAGGCGCACCGTCCTCGGCTTCATCAGCCTCTTCATTCTCCTCGTCGCCAATGTCCATGTCTTCATCCTTCTTACCGTCCAAGTCGAGGTCATCCTCCCCTTCATCGTCACCTTTTTGCTCTTCGATTTCGTTGCCCTTCATGGAAACGTCATAGCGATTTTCAGGACCGTCTTCTTCGTCTTTTGTCGAGTCAGGGTCGTCTTCATCCTTGTTTTCCTCCCCGTCCTTCTCCTCAGTCGCACCGTCCTCTTGATCCTCTTGTTCGACTCCGTCATCAGCTTTTTCTTGCTCCTCCTTGGATTTGTCCTCCTCTTTCTTGTCCTGCTTATTCTCCTCCTTGCCAGCGGGATCATCTTTGTCGTCCTTGCCGACCAGTTCTTTCTCCCCTTCCTGTTCCTGTCCGCCGTCAGCTTCGATTTCTTCCTTCTGTTCGCGTTTACTGCCATCGTCCTTGCCGTCGTCTTCGTCCTCTTCATCATCGCCGTTCCACATTTTTTCGTCGAGTTTGCCACCCTCATCGAGATCCACGTCCCCCATCTCGCGATCGTGCTCGGGCTCAGCCTCTTCCTCCTTGTCATCTTTCTCCTCGTCTTCTTGCTCTTCAGCTTTTTCAGGTGCGTTCTGAGCCTCACCATCCAAATCGAAGCCAACCTTCATTCCGAAATAGAGAATGAGATTGAATGAGTGAAAAATTATTTGGACAATTGTTGTTATTCTGGTACTGTCAGTGCAACACGAGCTAATTGCATGCATGCTACAGAAAATAAAGTAAGGTGTTTGATTCATCACGTGACGCATTGTTTCTTGTTTTCATTCGAAAGAAAAACTAAGCATTCGCAACATGCGCATGCCAAAAATCTGTTTCCATCTTATTATAGAAGGTACCTCCATGGCATTGTCCTTTCCGTCTTCTGGTGGCGGAACGTCATCTGGATTTTCATCACCCTTCAGACCTTCGAGTTGAGCCTCGTCTTCAATCTCATCAGTAATGTCACGCGCACCCTCGCCAGCACCAAGGCCAGTACCATGCTGCCATTCGTCAACGTGGTTTCCTTCGCCCTGTAGTTGGTTAGATTGAAATTTTGGAGTAATTGACATTAAGATGTTCGTGGAGATGCAAGAAGAAGAACAAGAAATAGATGAAAGAGAAACTTTTTCCCTTAGTAGAAAAATGAAGATTAGAGTAGGCACGTTGTACAACAGTTAGAAGGATAAGAAGTACCTCTCCGTCTTCTTGTTCATCTGGGGAGCTGCGGTTGTAACCATGGTCGAAGAGGAAATTCACCAGTTCTAGGGTGTGAGCAGCAACGACCGAGACACCAGTCAGTGTTTGCAAACCAGTGATCAAGGTCGCTTCGCACAGCAGCGCGCATTGCCGGATGACAGGACCCGTTCGCCGAATGGCTTCGAGATTACCTTCATTCGCGGCCGCCTGAATCGCTTCATGCAACTTTCCAAAGTGTGGCAGGGTAAGGCTACTGGAAGTTTCAGAAAACAAGGGCTGCGCAGAAATTCCTTCTCCTTTTTCTGGTGTTGATGAAGTAGAGTCAGCCTTGTCGAGGATCGCATCTTTCTGTGCCAGATAAGAGAGGTCGCCGACTCTGTCTTTTTCCTCTTCCTCGAGAATTTTCAGAGCAGCAGCGTGAGACAGTGTGGCGTCGGACTTCACAGTGCTGCGAATCGTGTCCTGCAGCAATTGCATTGCCGTTCGAAGGATTTCTTCCTCCGTAGTCCTGTTCGATGTGACTTCTTCAGGCACTGTAGGGGCTTCAGGAGTCTCACGGGGGAGAAGTGAAAGTCTTGCAGCTGGGGACGATGTCGTATTCGATGGCGCCACGAGCATATCTTTGTATGCTTTGGAAAACGTTATCAGGGCCTCTACAGTGCTGTTATGTAGCGCAAGCGGCACATTTTTCGGGCATAGAGTCGACGAAACTTGAGACTCGAAGCCCGTGCCACAGTAGGAAGACAAACCAGAAAGTAAGCTCGAACGCACAAAGACAATCTTGCTCGTTACAGAGGCATCTGCGATATAACGCCGAGAAGCCGTCGTGTTGCTGATGTAGGCTCTGTATTCCACGCTGGTGGTCAGATGCAGCTTTGCGTGCGAGAGAAGGTCGCGAAGGGACGCTAGTTGATGGATGAGGGAGCCTGACGCACCGACGATTTCCATGCAGCTCTCGATGAAGAACTCGTACTGTCGCACACTCTCCAAGGCCAAATCGAGTTTCTCCACAAAATGACGCAAGCGCGCAACAGAAACGACACGCAGTGGCTGCTCGGCGTTTTGCTCTTCCAGAATCGCTGAGAGGTTCGCGATATCCTCAATTTGCTCTTGCGCATGGACGCACCGATCCCGGTGATGCCTTAACAAGCGCATGCACTCTGTCGCCATGCCGACATACTTCGAGTATTCAGCTGGAGTCAAGTCTTGTGGCGGCTCTTTGCGACTCCGGATGCGCAAGAAACTGTGCAAACAGGTGTACAAATTCCGCTCCGAGCTCTCCCACAGGCGGTCTCGACGACGTGCAGGCACGCCGTCTGCCAACAGCGATAATGACGGACCTCCGTGCGTGGCCATACAAGATGAAGAAGCACTCGCACCGCCACTTTTGTTCGGTAAGGTGGATGTTGTGAAACCAATGGTATTTGGATTCGAACCTTCGAAGAGCTGGGTCGTCAAAAAAACGGCGAGATCACCAGTGCCTGTGCTACGCGGTCGCACGCCAAGCGCCTTTAGCTCGTCTCGCACACCCTGCAGCTGGCGGCGTTTTAAGGAGATGTTCACATCCGGCTGACGGAGACTCTCAAGAACAGAGCGGACGCCGCTAGCGAAATCTTGGCCGGCAAAAAGCCCGTTGGTTTCCGGTCGGAATGCCCAGAGCTCAGGCAAGATGCGCTGCTCCACGAGAGTGCGCATGCGGCGAGCGAGGGCCGGGACTGCGAGCTTGTGCTGCCAGAATTCCGGGCCATCAGAAAAACGAGGAAGCAACTCAGAAGTAGAGGAAGGCTTAGAGGACGCACTCTTTTCTTTTTGAGAATCTTCGGAAACAGACTCCGTAGTTGGCGCAGTCGCTAAAACGATGCAGCTTTCGATCTCCTCGTTATCCACAAGGTAGCTGTGAGCTGGATTCTTGCTTTTTGCATTGTGTTCGACGTCGGTCGTCTGAGTCTCAGTCAGTTCATCCACGAAAGCGTCTGCTTCGTCGTCGTTCGGACCTACGTCAGCCTTCTCTAGATGCGCCTGCAGATGCCGCGAGAGCACTTGATCGGTCTGCTCTTGCATGGCTACGTCAAAGCGCTTTGCGATCTTAGCGAGCTGCCGATGACTTCGCTTTACCGAGTCGCGCATGGACTGGAAGTTGCCGAGATCCCAACGCACAATCTTGCGGAGGCCGTTGATCTCACGATCGGCCTGTTCTCGTGCCTCTCGCAGAGCTTTATCGATGACTGGAAGCCAACGACGCGCGTAAAGATGTACATGACGCAAAATGGCTGCTTTTCTCGCGACAGAAGCTGAATGCGCTGCAGAGGTTGAAACGCTGTTCCCCAAAGCACCGACTTCGAGGACTTGTCCGACAGCTCCGATCATTCGAAGTCGAAGGTGAAACTGTGCCACTGGGCACATTCGCAGAAAGCGGAACAGTTCATCCACAAGGTCGATGGACTTCATCTCAGTTGCGTCAGCGTGTTCCTGTCCCTCATCTTCAGCATCAAGGGCCATCTCGATGTCCTCGTTTTCATTTTCAGCGACGCCATTATTTGATTCCACCTGATCAAAGTTTTTCTCGCTTTGCTGTCGTCCTGGTCCTCTACCCGATACGAGTCGAATCAATCGCAGGAGCCACACAGTGCCCTTCTGTTGCCAATATGATTCTCGGTTTTCTCGAAGTAACTTCCAGTCACGAACTTGCCTCATGCGCAACTCCACGATGTGGCGCTCGATTCCTGCCAAGTAGGGCTTCAAACTGACGAAGCTCGCCGCGACCTCCTCCCAGAACTGGCATTTATCACGCAGCAACTCCAGATGTGTCAAAACGTTGATCGCAGGCGTGCTAAGCAGGCTGAGTCGCAGCATGCGCTGCAATTGCTGCTCTATCGCAAGTAAAGCTGGGTGTGCTTCGTATTCCTGCAAAAGCTGCTGAACGCGCGTTTTCAGAGTGACGATTTGCGGCGACAGTTGCGCCAGATCGTCGGGAGAGCTGGCTGCATAGAAGCTGCAACCAGCTTCTTGATCCAGTTGAGACTCGAATTCTCGCAGAGTCACGTTTTTGCGGCAGGCAAACTCATCCTCGTATTTCGACTTCAGCAGCTCCTCTTGCTCTGTGCTTGGGCCGTTTGCTCCAGCCACCGCAGGATCCTGGTTTATCTTATGCTCACTCTCTTGGTCGTTATCCTTGCTAGCGGGATCATCTGTTGCCGTGCTCTTCTTGTCTGCAGCTGCACCGGTCGCTGTGCTAATTGCGAACATGCGGCGGTCTTCTTCGTCGTCGACGTCGACAACTCCTAGCGTGCCCGAGAGCTGCTTCATGCACTTTCCGATCCGCAAAGCCATCAACGGCTGCAAGCGCTGTTCGACCTCGAGTGGAATAAGTGTGTTTGCGCGCGGGAACGCGGTTTGCAAGAACAAATCTAGAGAATCTGAGAGCGCATCTCCCAAAAGGTTTTGAACTTCCTCACGCGTTTTGTTCTTCCCGCCGTCGTACAGATCGTCGTCAAACGCGGTGAGCGCGTACCGACACAAAAGATCGACGGTTTTCTGCGGCAACAAGCCTTTCTTCACAAGCTCCGCGTCAGCTTCAGCCTCGGCATGCGCGAGTTGATCCGCTTCGCGCTGGCGCGCGGCCTCACCGGCAGCTGCGTCCCGCTCGAGCTCTTCAGCCATATCCTGGTCAAAGAAACCAGCTTGAAGTCGCTGACGCTCCTCTGCCTCTGCGATACGGCGGATTTCATCCTCGTTGCTCGGGAACAATCGCGCTATGTCCTCTTCGATATCTGATTCATCTTCTCCGCCATTCTCGTCCTTACCCTCTTCTGCGTCGTTCTTCGAGGGACCGAGCAGCTGCTTTTTCTTGTACTGGAACGCGCGGTCCTGCTCTTGCTTCTCTTCGTCGAGTTGAGCAAGCGCGTTGCAGTGCTGTGCGGAAACCGCCTGGAGCAGCGTCCACAAACGCCCAGTGGTACCAGCTGTTGCAAGAGGCATCAACATCGAAGACGGAAAGTTTCCGGCGACAGCAATGGGAGCAGAAATCTTATTTCCACCGCTCCGTAGTCCAGCCTTATTGTTCCTAGCAGAGCGGTTTTTGTTCGCAACACCAGTTTTTCGGACAACGATCTTCGTCTGTTCACGCACTAGCTTGCCTTTTACTTTCTTCAGAGGAGCCAGCTCACTGAACTTTTTCTCAGCTTGCTTTCGTTTCGCGGCAGCTACTGCCTCCCGCTGCTTCCGCGCGAAGGTACCTCCGAGCTGCGAGTCTGTGGAGCGTGCGTGCAACTTGGTTACAGCTTGCCATCTGAGCAACCAAAGAGTCTTGTCGGCCAAACCACGACTCGACGCCTCAGAAGTGTTCGATCCGCTTTCTTGCAATTGCGCTGCCTCATGACTGTCTAGCACGTGGCCACGCTTCAGAAACGCCACTTGCGGCAGGCTGGCCAGGTCTTTAACCGCTGCGGAGCTTCTGCCCAACGAAGCGTCCTCCGCTGCTGCGCGCGCAGCAGCCACAAGGTGAAGACCATGCAACAAGGAGAGAGACGCAAGGCCGACTGGCTGTACCAGGTCTAGATGCAGTGGGAAACTGCTCTCTAATCTCATCACAAACTGCCGAACGGAGGCGCTCAATAGCTCTAGTCTCGATGGCGCCAGCACTAGCATCAACTGGCTCATTTTTCTGAAACCAGACAAAGAATCTTCTACCGTCTCGTCAGTAATCGCGGCGTTATCTGCTTCGCCCTCCAAACCGGAGAAAGCACCAGAAACAGTAAAGATTCCCGACACAAAAGCATCAATAAATTCCGCGACTGAGATTACCAGCTCCTCGTACGCAGGTGGAGCGTCTGTTGTAGCGTCTTCTGACATATTGATCGTCGTCTTCGTCTCACCTTCAGCACAACTAGCGTTCTTTTCGAAGATGACCAGGCTCGTCGGATGGTTTCCATCACGGATGACTTGGCGCGCTAGTGACCCACTCGTCTCATCGTCTTCGGACAGGACGATTGGTGCACGCAGGCAGCTGTGTTGTTGAAGAAAATCAACTTCCTCGTCAATCGCCGCGACCTCAGCGTCCAGCTCGTCGCAGGCCACGCCGCCGCGGTCGCAACTGGACACAAAAGCGGCGCAGGCTCGTCGAGCACGCTTCTCCTGGCACCGGTGCTCCCGTTGCAGCGCCAGCTCCTTCACCTGCTGCGCTACCGCCTGTCGGTAGTCCATCGAACCCGGAAGGAGCGCGCCTCCGCCGCTGAGCAGTCGGGCTGCGGAAACGTGTATCCAAATGCACCCGCGCAGAAATTCCAGGCGGCGATGACCCTCATCGACATCTCTAGGACTTCGGCACTCGATAGCTTCTTGCAGGAGTGGAAAAAGTTTCGCAAAATGGTTCTTGCCCACTTGCTGCAGTGACTGTGGATATTGACGTGAAACGTTGTCTTTACCACCTGTCGTCGAATCATCGTTAAGCTCTCCAAGCGTCTGACTAAGTTCCTTTGTCTTTGCTAGGATGGTCTCTTGCGCACCCTCGTGCGGTCGAAGAAGATACTCTTCGATGTCAGCAAGAGTATTCTCAAGGCTTGATGCAAACGGGTACTCACTGAAGACCTTCAGCTCTTGACGAAGAGTACTGAATAGTACAATCCAATCCTCCGCATTGTTCAGTAATGGAGAGCAAACTTCGGCGTTGACAGATGTCTTAGACTTCTGTGTGCAACTCGCGTCGTGTTCGTTTGCTGAGACTTCGGCACAAAACAAATATCGAAGCTCAGACAAGACAGAGTCCCGATCCTGCATCGCTGCATTATCGTGAAGGGCATTGACGTAGTTTAGGGCGAAGCCCGTTCGAAAGCCACCCATCAGAACCGTGCTTGGCGCCGGCAACGATGTGGTCGTCGTTTGTTGAGTTCCGCTCTGCTGTAGACCTGTTGAAACACCTGGCTTATTTCCGCCGTTCGACGTAGAAGCAACAGCTACAAATTGGGAGATCGGATGGGCTCCTGAGCCATTCGCATTTCCATCGTCAACGTCAACGAAAAGTTCTTGCAACGCCTTAAGCAGATTGTAGCGAACTTCAAGCGGAGCAAAATCTCGGACTGTTGATGCACTAAGCAAACTCCTGTTGTCTTTGTCAGCCACCTTCGCTGCTACGAAGCGAGGCACAAGAACGCGCTGTACCACACCGGAAGATACGCATTGTGTGTGTGAGAGTCTCTGACGAACGTCATCTGCCCCTGGTGTTCTGGTTTCCTTGGAACCGGCTGACGCAGCCGCTACCAGAGCCATCGCTAAAGATCTGACATACGCACGGGAAGCCTCCACTTCAGCGGTTGACACTGC